GCTTTTTATATTTGCTATCTTTCCTGCTGTGAATAAACTATAGCCCTGTAGCACAGACAGAGATAAAACTTAGTATCCTTGCATGCAAATTGAAGTGAGTGGAAAAAGAAATGTTGACAAATTACTTCATTTTAAAATGGGAGCTTTGCACCGGGATCTTCTTCCTACCACTTGTTATGTAAATAAATATTATAGGCTGCTAAGCAAAATATACAGGACACAATTTCCCATTCTGTCTAACCAAAAGTAATAGTAATGGTAGGGTTTACTCTTCCTATTTAAGTAGCGTCCAAACTATATAATCTGTTTTCGAGACAGTGAAGAAAATAAAGACCCTACCTCACAGAATGGACCGTGCATTTGTCGGTGTCCTGGGCGAAACTGCTGAACACTACAGGGAAGTGTTGGCTGGGACGATGATATCTGACAGGGAGTGAGGACTTGATAAATGTCCAGAGGAGGTCCTGCTTAGCTGACCAGATTCCCAAACCAGAAATTAATGTGAAACTGTGTTCTCTTCATATACCTGCATATTTCTCTGGAAGACAGAAACAGTATGTAGGCAACAAAATGGCCTGATTGTGTCATGACTGAATGTGTTCTTCAAAAAAAAAAACCACACCACCCGCCCGGTTAGTAACCCACCAGTAACATATTATCAATCCACAGGATAAAAAGAATAACTTCATTGTTGTGAAACTAAACTGTTTGTTGAAGAATACCGATATCAAGCGACAGTATTAGCAACTGAAAAATTGGAGGCTATGGCTTAAGTTTAGCATGAGTCCAACAGCTATCTGAAAAGTACTTGCATATGATAGGAGGTGACATACAGTGTTTGTATATCAGAGGTTAGACTAGTTCCCAAAGCTTTTTTAAACCTTGCATTCATCTTTATGAATGGGGACGTGTTGTTTTTCCATGTCAGGAGAAAAGGCAAACTCTTGAACGTAAGGCTTCAGAAATGCCAGGTCTCCATGTTGTCCTCTCTTTAGTTAGCTAGACCCAGCTCTGTATCGAAGAGCCCAACTAGCCCACTTTAAATGGTTCTTCCTCAACTACATTGATAACATTAATTGGTTTCAAACAGCATAGGTTTGGGATCCTGAGGCCCAGCATGTATGAGAATATGTACCTTGGACAATCTCTTGGTGACTAATAAATACCACCAGCTATGTTTTAAACTCAGTTAAAACAAACAAAAAAAAAACCCGCTGGGAAACATTTGTGTGTACTTTTGGATTTTT